AGGATTTTTTAAATTTTTTTTTTTTTTTTTGAGTGGATAATTGGATTTTTCTTTCTCCTCGGTCAGGCTGGGAGCCCGCTCAGGCATCACAAAACCTCCTGATCCCAAATGTCCGAGGGCTTCCCGCTGATCCCACCCCGCGGAAAGCCTCGGAATAAAAACGCCTTTATTTGTGGGGAGTTTCTCCCCTCTTCTAGGAAGAAACATGGGACAAAAATACAAATTCACCCTTCGGAGACGGGGCTGAGTCCTCTCTGTGCCGTCAGCCCCTCCGCAAAGAAACCTCCCGAGCACCCGAACCGCTCCCGAACCGTTCCCGGCTGCGGCACTCCCGGAAGGAGAGATTTTGGATTAATTAATTCAAATTAATCTCCCCGAGCTGGGGGAGACTTCAGCGATGCAGCTCCACATCAAAACCCGGGCTGGGYTGAGGCTGTTTTTTCCTAATTTAATCGACGGTTTAGCACCAGATTGATTCCCTCCAATAAAAAAAACCCACCAGAACAGCCCAATCAAACCCATATTTCAATCCCAAACCATCACCTCAGACCGTGTTTTCCCAGATGGGGCTGTGCCTGGTCCCTGATTTGTCCCTATGGACCAGGTTTAGCACGAAACAGCCCCAAAATCGGCCTGGGGGTGTTCATTCCTCGGTGGGAAAAAGCCACTTTTGGGGAAAAATTAGGAAAAAAAGAAAACCTTTTAATAAAACCTACAAAAATTAGGAGGGGAAAAAATTTTAGCAAAGAGCACAAAGTGTTCTTGCCCAAAGTGAGGAGGACTCACCCCACTAATGACAATGATCAAAAGGAGATAGAGTTCATAACGCTGGAGCGGAGCCCTGATCCCACAGGGATGGCTCCCAGCAATCTGGGGCTGGAAAAATTCACCTTTCTGGGTCAGAATCACAAATCCAGCTGGTTTTGGGGGGGAAAAACAGAGTTTTATGTCCTGCCCTCGCTGTGGAAAGGGTTTTAGGCACAATCTGTGCTCCAGCCCGTGCTGGGAGCTTGGTCTGGGGAGTCCCAGAAGAATCCAGGATTCAGGAAACCGGGACCGAGTGTGGGCCAAGGAAGGGAATTCTAATTTATTCCAATTTATTTTCATTTATTTCCATTTATTCCATTTATTTCCAATTTATTTCAATTTATTCCAATTTATTTCCATTTATTCCAATTTATTTCAATTTATTTCCATTTTATTTCATTTATTTCATAATTTTTTTTTTTTTAATTATTTCAATTCTCTTTATTGCTGGGCTCCCAAAGGGGTTCCATGGGGTGAGGTGGGGGTGAGGAGCGATCCCAGCTCTGCGGGGACATTCCGTGGCCGAGGCTGCAGGAATTCCTTGCTCACTGCTGGATGTGCCCGTGAGCAGCCGTGGGTGGTTTTTGGAGGTCCCCCCGAGCCCTGAACACATCGGGATGTTGTCCTTTGTGTCCTCTCAATGCACAAATTAAAAAACCAAGCTGATAATTCCACCTGTTCCAGCTTTTTCAGCCTTTTTATTCCCTTGCAGTCCCAGGAGCGTTTCAAGGCCGATGGGTTGTACATCAAACCATAAATCAACGTATTTGCACCTCATTTTCGAATTGAAACACGCCCTCATTGCTAAAAAAGACATTTTTCCCAAATAACTCCCAGATGAACGCAGCCAAGTCTCTCTCTCTGCAGGATATTTTATCACGGAGCCCCATTTTTGCCCACGACGAGGTGGGAAGCAACGACCCAACTTCATTCTTTGGTTTTCTTTTCGATAAATCATCACAAATACTTCATTAAATTCCTCAGTACACCCGTCAGGAATAAATATGGGGATGGAGGTGTGTTTGGAAAATYCGGGTGGGGCGAAAAATCACAAAAATAATCACAAAAATCACCCTGGGAGGAGGGAGAGAGGGAAGGAGAAAGGGAGGGGTAAAGGGAAGTTTTATCCCTTCTCGGTGCTTTCTGAAGGTGTCTTTGACACCGTTTGAGATTCAGGTCTCATCTGCTCCTTCTGAGCTCATCCCAGGGGAAAAGGGGAGATCAGGAGATTTTCTCAGGGCTTTGAGGCCGTTGATCGCGGGGGTTTTTTTCGGTTTTTCTCGGGAAGTGCCAGCACCACGCCTGCCCCTGCCTGCCCCTCCTCCTACGCTCCCGGTTCCTCCACAGCCGCTACCGCTGCTCCTCCAGCCTCAAGATAATCGATTTTTAGGGTGATGCTCCCTAAAAATCCACCCACGAGCCCCCAGCACCCCTGTCCTGCCCTCTCCCGTGGCCACCGGGTGCCCA